AGTTGACCGTAGGCGTAGGCCCTTTCATCGATTTTGTCCTGCTTCCAATTACTTACTTACTTACTTACTTACTTGCTTACTACCCGAACTGATGGCTCTGTTCAATTTTAGATCTATACCGACTGCGTATTTTACTTGTTATTCCTGAATTTATACGCGATTCATGGCGCTTATCATTTCAATTTAATGAGTTGTCATGAAGTGAGAAACAAGCGAGACAAAGTTCTAAGTTCATATGCCAATATTCGCGGTGTTTACACCCGCATAAACAAATCACCCAACTGACGAATATGGTTATGAAAAACTACAAGATACCAGAAATACTTATCGCCTCGATAGTGGACGTACCAAAATACTTTAATAAATTTTTTTTGAATCAATTCTCAAATTAACATCTGCTATAGTAGCGCCCAAATGTTTTCCTACACTTAATATGGCTTCTCTTATCAAGTTTGTATCAGTTTGAGCGCCTGATCAACAGGCGAAGAAAACGGATATGATTATATCAAATTCTGATATTTATACAAGTATACATACATTCGCTGTGACGCATTTATTAAAGTTTTAGAGACAGTGTGACGTTATTAATATAACTCTATCAGTAACGGGTGCGTACAATAAATAATCTTGCAAGCAGACCACAAAAGTATATTCGATTCGCTTATGCTCTTCATTGTGTGTGTGTGTGTGTGTGTGTGTGTGTGTGTTTCAGAAAAATACATAAATGATTATAGTACTGCACCACAATAAATTGTCACAGTAGGTTACGATAAGTTAAAAGAAATTCTCGCTTACCACAGATAAGGGTAATAACATAATATGAACAAAAATTCATATATAGATGTAAGCAAATATCAATTAAAGCAACGTTTAACAATCCTAATGAACCGAATGCGGATTTATGTTGAGAGCTGCTTGTCCAACATTCGCACGTTTACCGAGCTAAATAAGTACAAAAGTTATGCAATTATTACGTAAGTGTTTTTAAGCGTAGTTTAGTAACTTTTGACTTTTCAAAGAGATTTTATAAATATTGGTCAGTCCAGGTTAACCTAACCCAGCCTTATGAAATAATAGATCAGTTAAACACACCTAAAGGTCAAGAGCAATAAAAATATAAATAATTTTTCAATCAGTAAAACACTTCATAAGATCCATTTTTCCTTCTCAACGCCCCCAAATTAATTTGCTTTGTAAATAGCAATCCAAATGGTTTCTTATTATGCTGTATATGGCAAAAATTGTATGCGTTGGCTACTCCTGATTTTAATTGAAGCTAACCTTACAAAAACTAACAAGAAGAAAGTCAGATTTTTGAGAGGAAAAATCATGTTTTATCTAAGCAGAATCTCGGCTGAAATTCTATGAATTCTTTTTATTTATATTTCGAAGCCTTAATAAGATTCTGAATTATTATAAATCATTTAAACGATCTGCAATTTCCAATTATAAGCAAACAATGAAACTGTATCCGCTCTTCGCGATGCTGGCTTAATTATCCCGAAAATATTCCAATTCGTTTAAATTTCCTCAAGCTTACTATTAAAAATGTTAAGTTAGTTAGGGTCCAACACATGTTAGCGTATAAATAGGGGCATTAAGTGAATCGACCACAGCCAAGCGATGACTCTCGTAAATTGAGACAAATTTCGGATCGATAATATATCTGCCGTATGTAGTGACTTATTGTTTAAATTAGTTAAAGAGATTCGCGGACGTGATTGCTATAGCATTTCAATTTTAAAGCCCGTAGTTATATAACAGTAAGGCAATCAAAAATGGAATCTATATCGTTACATATATATATATATATATAAAATGTATGTCCAATCAAATTTCTGATATAACAATTAATTTACAAATCATCGGCTTGTACACTTTTACAGCCTACTGAAATATTTAGCGGCTGTGGACGAATTAAATTAAATTGTTGCGATGCTTTTCTCAAGGTTAATTCATTTACTTTGAAATGCTTATTTTGTTTAAAAGTGAATTAAACTTCTTCCCCGAATTAATTAACGAAATTAGCTTAAAAATGTAGTGCACTCTCCAGGCACTTTAGAGGGACATGAGAATACAAACACCAAATTTTTTCTATAATTTTATAGGTCCCTCCTAATCCATACATCTAACGTTGTAAGGCAAACCAAAACGTGTAAAACATTCACCACTCAATGGCGAAATACATGTTTTTTTGTTATTTTTGCAATTTCACAATTTATTGCAGAAAAATCGAAAATGATTTTCAATTTTCATCCCATAAATAGAATTTTGTATTAAAAACAAAATAAAGCAAAAAAAAAAAAAAATTGTCTTTATGGGTTTTATTTAATTGCTTTATTTCGTCGTCACGTTAGAGGAGGTCTGGACTGTTACCAGGAATCATATGTTGTTATTGTGCATAACACGCAATTATATTGTAAAATTGTGTATGTCGCTATCTTTGAGAAAAAGGACACAATTAGTTCACTCGGTAAACATGTATATATTACTAAAAATAGGATTTTTATTAAAATAAATGAGGGTTGTTGTTACGTGCATGTGTGCGTTTGAATGCGTGCGCGCAAAAATCTTATAACAAATGAAATAATATTTTATAAACAACCACTCAAACAGATGTATGTTCTGTTTTCGTAAAGTACGCGCACACATATATATATATATATATATATATATATATATGTACAACATGCGCAATTCGAAGTTAATAATGATGCCTAATACTGTTTAGCGGTTTTTTTTTATTTTTTTTTTTTTTTTTATTATTTATTATTCGAACAAACCTTGTTTGTACCTAGATTTGACAGATACGTGTCTGTATGTGTTTGTATCTATCTCTATGCGGACTAAGAGCAATAAAAAGGAATTCTTTGAAAGGTATCTATAGAAGCTATGCAGCTGCTTTCAGATCCTTTTTTTCATTCATTCGACTGACTGTTGCTTGATCTTGAACTTAATCGTTCATCTTACTTATATAGTTTTTTTTTTAATATTTATAGGATAATTACAAGCAGCCTTCTTACAATACTTTGATTTCATTGATCTGCTGCGCTTCCTTTCACACACAAATTTTGGATTTATTTTGATGCCTCCGCATGAATAATTGATGGAAAAATCAATGTTCTTTTACTTTATACATTGTTTTCTTTTCTTTTTTTTTTTTTTTTTTTTTTCTTTTTTATTTTTTCTCTAATCTCCTTTCCTTATTAGCACTTGCATCATTTATTCAAGTAAAAACTGGTTGAGGTTTTTATGTCATCGTTATTTTTTAACAATTAACGATTAATTGATTTAATCCATCTTTCATGCGTGATATTGTTTTCAAAAATTCAAACAACTTAAAAAAAAAATAACTTTACTTCCGCAAAAATTTTAAGACAGTTTTACCATATATCCGCGTTCTACATATCGACACCAATTTAACTAAAACTAACTACAGCAACTTTACTTGAATTTGAGTATGAATTTAGAACAAACACTGTTAAACGTCATCAATTCGATGATAACAAACAAGACGTAACGTTCATTAAAATCGCAGAGATTTGCTTAAACACGGGAACACAATGAAATTTGAAACACTTTAATGAATATTTTTTCCGGACAAATGCAGGCATTTCGAGCATTGCAATAAAAAAAAAAATTTTTAATTAATGAAATCATTATATGTAGACAGCTAATTTATAATGCATATTTTGTGAATGTGAAACATAATATAAATATAATAAATAATGCAAAATAAAATACAAAATAAATTATATAACATATAAAATATTATTTAATATATAATATATTAAATACACTATTTTATGTATAAAATATAATATAATGCATATAGCATATAATATGTATTACTTAGGTTATAATATATAATTAATACTATATATTAATTAAATTATAATATATAATTAATAATAACATAAGGTACATAGTATATAACATATAGTACATAATCTGTAATATAAAAAATGCGAAATAAGTACAATAAGCAGTAATATGCACAAATACAAGTACAAATTTGAATTTTATAAAGTATATATATATTCTTGATCTGAATCGATTTAGCGATGTCCGTCTGTTTGATATCTGTTTTAAGCATTCTCCTGCACCGCAAAAATGAAGTTATTGACTTTACATTTGGCAGAAACATGGGAAGTTTTTGAAAATCAGCCAAATCGGTCGAAGAACACGCCTACAGCACCACCTAAACTAAGAACACTTCTGCCTTTTAAAAGATATAAAACTTTTTTTTATTTTTTGCTAATTACTTTTAAACTCTAGGGGATAATTGTACACAAATTTTCGCCACATATTCTATGGGCAATGTTGTAACGCCTGGACAAAAATGGAAAAAATTTGAACACGCCTACCCAATATCATAATGTATCAAAATTTATTTATTTTTTTTTACAAAACTTTTATAAGGCGCCGAAACAAGCTTCAAAAACCCCATAAATTATATCAATTCTTGACTAGTTGCAAATTTGGAATGCACGCAAGTATGTCCATCCGTTCCGTCTGTGTAGCGTCTGCGATGAACATTCTTCCAGAGATTGTCCAAAAATTTGAAAAAGAATTTGAAAGGAACTTTAACCTTTTTTCCAAGGACACGGCTACAACGCCCACATTGTCCACACGTTTATGCGACAAAAAAAATGCAAAAAGAAAATTGGAAATAGTAAAATTAGTAGCGCTCACTTTATGAAAATTTGTTGTTACATTTCTTTTGTCTTTTTTAGAATAAAGATAATGGATGTAAAAGATTCGGTCACGACCGAATGTAATTTTCGTATTTGCTTGCAATATAGAACACTTTCATTTATCCGTAAAATCGAATAAATCCTTCCTGTCAATAGCGTAGATTTGAATGTATTCGGAAGTGTGAAATTTATCCGATAAAGAACACCCTTTAAACAATTTCAATTTTAGTTCATTCCTTCTGATTGAGACATTCGTTACTGGTTTGCATAGAAATGGTTACAGCTTTAATCGCTCAAGTTTTACATTAAATTCAAATTGTGTACATATGTGCGAGGAGATCTTATATTGCGGTGTGTATTAATAGAAACAGTCTATGCCGGCTATTTATTTAATGAAGTGAAAATGATTAAAGCCGCATACATACTGTTACTGTTCGGTATTTTTTATCAAGTAAATCTTAATTTCGGCGATTCTCTCGAAGATGTGAAACAATTACTTCCAAATGATTTGTTTGAAATACCATCATCCATAATGGTAGTCATATTGGTGCGCAATAAAGCTCATGTTTTGCCCATTTTTTTAACATATTTCGAGCAATTGGATTATCCCAAAGAGCGGATTGCATTATGGTATGCAGCGTAAATTTATGTTTTGTTTATTAATTTTTTATTTAATTTTGTTAATCAAATAATTTATTTACTCACAGGATACGTTCTGATCATAATTTTGATAATAGTATTGAAATATTAGAAGCATGGTTGCAAGTTGTTCAATCGGAATACCATAGTGTTAATGTAGAATTTGATAACACCAAGCATCAACATGAGAATGAAAGTTCTTCATTTGACTGGCCTCGGACACGTTTCGAGCACGTTATCAAACTTAAAGAAGAAGCTTTAAAATATGCTCTAAAAATCTGGGCTGACTATATATTTGTATGTACCCTTTTAAACATATGCACGCACATGAAAATGTATGCTTATCAGTGTATTAATTGAAACAATAATAATAATGTACCGTAAGTGATTGAAGGTATATTAACTTTGTGCGTAATTTTGTGTAATTTTAAAATATTTGTAAAAAGCCAACGCGACCAAAATCATTTACGGTGCGAATTTAAAAAAAAAAAATTGTCGTAGCAACTTAAAAATATATTAATAAAATCCGAATATTTTGGGATAAATACGGTTTTGACTGTAGATAAATCTAATCGAAACACGTAACACATCCGTTTTTATTTGAAAGCAATACAGTAATGTGGGCTTATAAAAGTCGTGATGAATACGTATACATGTTTTTAACATATTCATTTTGGGTTTCTTTTTATTTTAGTATTTGGATGCTGACGTCTTGCTAACATCACCAGCAACTTTAAGGAATTTAGTCAATCTGAAATTACCTTTGGTAGCGCCTATGTTATTATCGGAAAGCTTATATTCCAATTTTTGGTGCGGCATGTCTTCTACCTATTACTACATACGCACTGATGATTACATAAAAATATATAATGTTAAAGAGGAAGGTATCTTCAAAGTAATGATGATACATAGCGCTGTTCTTGTAGATCTTAACTATAGAGGAGCTCAATATCTAACTTTTGATCGTGAGCAATTTCGGAGGCAACAGAAAATCGATTTACATTGGTCTTCGACGCTAGGACCATTATGTCGGCGTCCCTATGAAGGCCCTCTTGACGATATAATCGTATTTGCAATGTCGGCAAATTGTTCGAAAATACCCTTGTTTGTCACCAATGAATTGCCATTTGGTTATATTTTGCAACCTTTAGATTCGAGTGATTCTTTGAGTCAAGACTTGAAACAACTAATAAACATTAAAACGAACATTATCCACGATTTCGAGGAAATTAAAGAGGTTGATGATTATTTAAAGAAGTATGAACCTAGAGTAGAAAAGTAAGTTGAAAAATATTAAATAAGACAATTGTTTACCTTCTTTGGATTTTTAATAGAGATACGATGTCATTGGATCACATTTATTTAATTAATTTGGAACGCAGACCGGAAAGGCGTAAGAAAATGCTGAAACTTTTTGAAATTTTGGGTTTGGAAGTAGAATATTTTCCCGCAATTGATGGCAAGTGAGTTTATATATATTTAGTATCTTTTTATTATTTTATTTCTAAATATTATTTATTCTCATCGCGGCTTAGAAAGCTCGATCATAATAAAATACAAGAAATGAATATCAAATTTATGCCAGGCTATGAAGATCCGTATCATCATCGTCCAATGACAATGGGTGAAATCGGTTGTTTCCTAAGCCATTATTATATCTGGCAAAACATAGTAGAAAAAAAGCTCGATGAAGTTTTAATACTAGAAGATGACATACGTTTTGAACCTTATTTTAAAGAAAACGCTGAGAAGATTATAACACAAGCTCGCAGCTTAAAAGAATATGATTTAATGTGAGTATTCTATATGTTATGGATATAAGTAAGTTTGTAATATATTTCTGTTTTAGTTACTTTGGACGTAAACGTTTAAAAGATGAATCTGAGCCTCCTGTAAAGGGTACCGATAATCTACTGCATGTTGGCTACTCATATTGGACTTTAGGTTATGTTTTAACCTTAAAGGGTGCTAAAAAATTGATAGACGCTCAGCCATTACAGAATCTCTTGCCAGTAGATGAATTCTTGCCTATTATGTTCGATAGACATCCCGTCAAAAATTGGTCCTCAGTATATCCAAAACGCGATCTTATAGCCTACAGTTCTACCCCATTACTTTTATATCCATCGCATTACACGGGTGATGTAGGTTATATATCTGATACTGAAGATTCTGTTTTGCTTAGTAATGAGCCTTCATCGAATTATACGCAGTTCAACCAAGCTCAGTTAAAGAGCGACCGCGAATTAGATTTTATGCAGATAAAGCATGAAAGTACGCAATCGCATGTCAAGTCATCTTCCAAAGACGAATTGTAGTATTCCAAAGCGAGGGACCGAAATCGAACCTTCCACATTTTGCATATTACTCGCAATTTTAAAGCTAAACCAAATATTAGTATTTAACTTTTGTTTCTTCTTTTTTGTTTTTCTTAAAAACTCACTTAAAAGTGCCTTCACAATGCTGATTAGCAGCTGAGCTAAGCATTAGAAACTTAAAAGAATTTTAAAAAACATAATTATTGTAATTCTCATTATATGAAACTGCCTTTGTTTATTTTTATATATATATATATAATTTGTGTGCATGCATATAATCAAATTTCTGATAAAATAAACAAAAATAAAAAAAAAATGTGAAAAAATTTAAATTATTTGCTTTAACATGTTCCATGCACACATGTTCTATGTACACATTCATCGACTGACATTCCAACTATTTTTAATGTTTGCTTACCTAGGCTTCTATTTTCCGAAAAGTTGACTGGAGCTAGTCGTGAAATTCATAATTTTAAGTCGCCGTGATTTTAAATGATTTACCAAATGTCGATCCAGAAGATATCATTTTAAATCGTGTAAACTATATTTCTTTGGGATCTTTTTTTTTTTTTTTTTTTTTTAAAGAGTTTTTTAGCTTAACCAACGATGCAATTCAGTTTGTTTTTGTCCGTTGTGCTTCGTAAGGTATTTATAGCCCATATGCAATTTTATATCTATCGCCGTGGGGTGAGGCATATATTCATTTTGTCAGAATGTTTGTAACGCTCAGAAGAAAGCATCAGAGACCTCAAAAAGTTCTTCATCACCGTCAATTCGTAAATTGATTTAAGCCGTTCGTGTGTTTAACATCTATTGTAAACATTCGCCTAACCGCGAAAACGATGCTATTGACTTCACATTTGGTAGAAACATTGACAGTTCTTGCACGCAGGTTGGTATCGTTCGTATTGAAAATGGGTCAAATCGGTCGAAGAATACGACCAAAGCACCGCGTAAACTGAGAACATCTCTGTTTTCCAAAAGTAATAAAGAAATTGATTTTTTGCTAATTACTCGTAAACTATGGCAGATGATTGTACACAAATTTGAACAATAGTATTTCGCCATTCTAAAATGGTACGAAAACTATGGACCGGCTGGAGCAATTTTTGAACCTGCTCTCATATAACGGGAATTTAACATAAAAATGTTAACTGTACCGACTTTGGACAATTTCGGACTATTTTTTGGATCGTACCCTACGTAAGGGTTTCACGCAAATTAATCGTTTATACGGCAGGAAAGTCTACATTTTAATACGTTACTCTTGGGCACAGCCATTCTAACGGAACGTAAGATTTCATTTGCAAAGCGGACCATTTCTAAATATACATAAGCGTAAGTTCCTATTAAGGCAAGATGTAATGTTTGCGTTCTATGGCAAAAATAAGATTTGTGTTAGAGAATGTAGTGTAGAGTATTTACTAGTCGGCCTAGTCTCACTATAATATTTTCACTTGTTTTTTTTTTCAAATTTTCATCTATAACTTTCTATGCCATCAAGATATTTCTGAAAGACTGTTACCAAGATATTTTTCGGAACAACCTGCAGTGCAAAAACTGTTTCATTCAAACCCTGTTGAGTATCATCAATCCAATTCATGCTAACAATTTTTCGGTGAGTGGATTCATCGATTCAAAATAGAAATTCGCTGTCAAGCTAGGTCAATACGATGCGACACCATTTCCAAAAATTAAAGCGCACGTGTTACAAGATTAAATCTAAATTTTGATTCCAGACTTGCGTTAAGTCTTTTATTCTTAATTAGAATTTAAAATGGAGTTGATTTAGGAAAAGTCTATTGAAGGAAAGGAAAATAGTGGGTGTGTTATAAAATTCCTTTAAAATAGCAGGCGTAGAAATTTTTCATTTATTTTCATGATAAAATACCAAAAAAAATTATGCCTTGCATATATATTATTTATACCTGGATAAAGTCCAATTCTATTGGAACTGTAATCCAGACAATTGACAACAATGTGCATTTAAGGGTTAAGCAAGTTTTGCTTTTAGCGAAAGTGAAAGCCGCTAATTCGTTCTTCTATGTGTTATGTAAGTCTTTATCCCATCACTGCTTGACCTCATTGACTGTGAACGAATAAAGCAGAAATAAGAAGCAAACTTATGTTTGTTTGAATATTAGCTGTGCATGTACAATTTTTATATAACTAATAAAACTAAGGAATAGAAATTTTTGAATACATGTTAATACAAACAAATATGTATTAACAAAAATGCCCCGGTGAAGATAAACTTGCAAACCCCGGAAATAAGCGGATTAACAAGACATAGAAAAATAATATATAAATATTTTGATGTATTATTATTACTATTATTATTATAATTTTAGACTAATGAAATAAATTCTTAGACTAAAAAAAAAGAAGACATTGAGCACTAGCAACACAGACTCTATTGGCTCTAATTTATATGAATGTACATTAGATATTCAGCCTAGTAGTATTAATAAAGTAATATATTGAATTGATATTCTGTTCTGAAGCTGATTTTAGAATGTCCAAAGGATTAATCGTTTCAAATGCAATACTTTTAGTCAAGGAAAAGTTAAGGCAGTCGCAGAGAATTTGCTTTATAGTGAGAATTTGTCCACAACTGCAGATTGAGGAGGAAGACTTCTTCAAGATCCATTGGTGAGTTGCGATAGTATGACCAAGGCGAATTCTCGAAAATGTTTGGATCTTCGTTTTCTCAACATTTGCTGGATATAAAGGTGGAGTTAATTGAGGGTTAATGGAAGAGTAGTGTTGATGATGGTATTGTCAATTCTCTTCTGCAAATTTTCTTTTTAACTTTTCTTCCAATGTATCTTTGAAGATCCAACTTTTCCATGACATCATCCATAATTAGAGGAGCAGAAGCAGCATACTTTGATGTAAATTTTTATAAATGTAACGTTTAGTTCTATTCTACTAAATTACTATAATTGTTAAGTTGCAAGCGAAGTACTTAGTGTATGATTTCTTATTTCTATACGTAATCTTTTAATTTAGTTGGGAGGTCTCTACAAAAACTTCAACACAGTCATCGGAATCATATGCGATTGCTGAAAAGAAAAAATTTCCACTTTCCCAATTTTCTCCCTTGTGGTGTATGCAAGCATTGTAGAGCGCTGCAATAATAATTGTAAAGTTTATGGTTTCGTTGGATTATATCTGTGTGTCAGTGATCTCAAAAAATTAAGATAGACTTGATTTGAATTTTTGCTCCAATACATCTCTTCACAATATTCCCAGCCTTCTAATTAATATTTCACTTTGATAAAATCCCCGAAACTTCTATACGACGTCATCAAAAAAGGTCTATTATCACCTAAACATATTTGGAACATATATATTTAAATATGTCTTCGCCCTCTGTACAATTCCGGAAATCTAAATGAGTTTTCATTTCGCTGTAGCAAAACTTACGCATAAACTAATTACATAAAGAATACATGAAAACATATCAGTGATATGCACATATGCGTAGATTAAACTTATCGGCTTGTCCCGTCTACACATCGAACCATTTCATTATATCATACCGATGATATTTCAATTTTTATTTATTGTAGAACAAAACGTGCAGTTACCGCTTGAAATACATTATTTAAAAAAAAAAAAAGAAAAAAGCAAGAAAGTTATCTCCGAAGAGATCGAATCTCGCATACACATCACTACGCTAGTCGCACCACACTATCCAAGGTCGTTTAATTTATACCCATTGGTATTGTTCAGAAAAAAGTAATCGCGGCCTCTACCGAACCCATTTCCAGGCAGATAATTTATCTTCACTTGATGGATGTACAAAATAGTTCAATACAGACATTCTGTCTCGTTTACGTTATGGTAAGTAAGCATAAAATCTCAAAAAAGTGAAAAAAAAGCTATCACTTAATCACTTCTAACTTTGTGTGGGCATGGCTGATATCTTCAATTTTGCGAGTCAGAACATATATGCATTTCAAAATTCGAACAACGAGTTTCATAATTTAAAAGTCTTCGATTCCTAATAGTAAAAATAAATACAAAGTAAATGTCATCGATTAAAGGGCTTTTTACGGTGCGAAAAGTTGCAGTATTTTTGATCTTTGTATTTTTGATCAATCTGCTAATCTGCGCTTGGATAAGTCTCATTAAGGGAATGATTAAATAAATTTCATTTTTGGATTCGCTAGAAACTGTATATTTATATTCACAACAACGTTCGGTTATGTTGTCCTCCGGAGACTGTTAACTATAAGTGGAAACTCGCTTATTCTACGAACAGATAACAAAAGTGTTGAGGAATTCAACAAATGTCATTTAAAGGTAATTATTACCGAACCTTTTCAATCTTTGAAATACTTAACTAAGTGACTTCTTCCCCTGTGTTTGCCTTGTCCTTCCTGCTGATTTTTGAAGCTGTGTTTGTTGTGTTATGGAGCGTATAACGTTTCGTCTCTGAATCTCTTCTTCAATTGCATTTATTGTTAACTATGAGTCCTTTGTTAAGGAGTTTTTCAAAGGTCGCGTTAATGAAATTTTTGTGAAAAATTTCGAAAAGTAGCCGGAAGCGGGCAAACGATTTGCTTATGATTGCCAAAAGATTGTATGCAAATAAGTCGAACTATGTGTTAGTATGATTTGTAATTACGTGAAATGCAAACAAAAACATACATATTAACTTGTGATGCGTGATTCGTGATCTATATATCGTATGAACACATTTATCCTGTTTTTGTTTTCTAACAAATGTCATGGATATTGCATGGCTCAGATCAAGGAGAATTTAATTGCTTTCTCATTTTATCTTATCGCATATTCCTCGAATATTTTTTTCGTAATCTTAGTTTTGGTTTAGTCAAGCATAGGTAGCGAGCACGCATTGAAATTCTGTGCACATGCCGTAGAGCAAGAAAGGCGCATGCATACCTTAAATAATGCTTTGACTTATAAATAATTCATCGTTCCAATTTTAGTATATGTTCTGCCGTAGCAAGAATGATGTGTAGATTGAAAGGAGAGCAAGTTAGCACTCCCCATAGACAAGGATGGAATCACATACAAATAATTCACATAAACAAAAACAAGTAAATATATTCGACGCGGGCAAGACTGACTGGTTTAATGCCTTACAATATTTCATCAAAATCCATTACTCATTGGTTTTCGCGATAATACACCAAATAGCTAGCGTTAATGTACAGGCAAACGGCTCATGATAGCCCATATATATATATATATATATATATATATTATATGTGGACCAAAACGTGAACTGAGATCGCTCAATTTCAGCAAATTTAAAACACTTTTTTAAGAATTTTAACATTCTTCGCCTATATTCCTCAAAAAACACCACAAATTATTCTTTATGGCCATACAAGGAGATTGATTTTTTGTACGAACCGTAATGCGAAATTACTCAGAAACAGACTTAGACGATCATAATTTGCTACGATCTATTATTGACCAATTTTTACCATAAAATATTAAATAATCGACATTTTTACTATATAAAGGCGTAGGCTTTAATAAATAGACCTACGTAATCCAAAGTTGGTGCAATTCATTTTTACATCAAGTTACTATTATGAATCTCTTTTCATATGAAAAATTAGGCACTTTTCCCATATGAAAGCGTACTCGTATTCGTAGGCATGGAAAGGGGTTCAATAAAATTTGAAAAATTGAATTAGCATTCAATGATTTTTATTGGAAGAATTTAAAAATTGCAATTTTTTCCATATCAGGAATTTTTCAAAATAAAGCAAAGCAGAAGGAGAGTGACCGTAAAAGTGGTCCGATCCGATCAGAATGCCAAATTTTATCAGAAATATATCACAAAAGGTTCGACATTAAAAGACATGGCCGGATGGAGAGAGAAATTTAAATCGATTCAGTAGATAATTCTGAAAATCGATCCGAATAATAAAAAGTGGATGCTGCAAATAGGCGCACAAACTTACTATTATACCGTGCATTACAAATGGTGTAGGGTATAGAAAGGCAAACAAACGGAATAATTAGCAACAAATTATGAACACCCTCTCAGATGGCAGCGAGTTATAAATAGATAGGAGAATAAATGCGCTTTGTCAAAATTTATCGTTAAAAGCTCGGCATTTATTTTAATATTTTATTACTTCTCTTTTATCACAGATACGTGGAGATGCAATTTAAAAATGCTGAGATTTGCAAGAGTTGCACTGCGTTTTCAGCTTCAGCTTCTAAAGTAAAAACATTCAGTTATTCATACGTGTTTTTTATGATTTCTCTGACGGATGTTTTAATGCAAAGCATGAATTTTTTCGAGAAATTTTTCAGTATGCAATAAGTTCTAAAACGATAAAGTGCACAAAGGAAGTGAAAACAGAGACAATTGAAAGGAAGCGAACTCAAATGCTTCATCTTAAGTCATAAATAATTAAAATAATTAAAATAATTTATATACAAGAGAAAAAAAAAAGTGAACAATAAATGTTTTAATTTGCAAAAAAAAAAAAAATAATAAAAATTATAAATTAAGTAATTATCGAAAAAACATATATATATATATATATAGATACATATATATATATATATGAGAAATCCGTTGCTATATATCAGGAGGTCAGTCTTTAATTTTGCACTAGTCTACGCCAAGTGAAGTCGTTCAGATTGTGAAATAATTTACCAAAACCGATAATTAAAAAAAAAAGGAAAGAGACAAAGAAGAAGAGCACTCCGTTTGATGATATATTGATAATGGAATGGAAGAATATATTCTTACTCTCGTTTCGCTTTCATAATTCTCCATATATCCTTACATTATTATATCCTGTGTTCTATCAGACAAAGTCACGTAAATTGTGTGAAACTAAAAAACATCGAACATAAATCGAATATTTTTGAAAAATTTATTTTGAAATTGATTTCTATTTCGAAGAAGTAGGCATCTCAAGTCCAAGAGCAAAGAGTATCAATATTTGAACAAACCTATTATCAATAAAATTGAGTCAATTGTGTGCACCGTTTCGACAGAATGTCAAATTTGTGAACACATACATTTCTTGACGTTAAATGTTCGAAATTAATATTTAAAAACTTTTAAACGCTCTGAACAATTATATGAAATAAAATCCATTTATATGAGGTATGCGTTACTAACGCCTTCTCAACGTAATGAAAACAGCATTAAATTAATTAAGAAAAAAAAAAAAAAAAAAAAAAATGATCGTTAAAATCTCATCAAGAATAAAAGTTAAATTTTTAGAATTAGAATTGTTAATCACAAATAAATAATAAAAAAAAAAAAAACAAAATATAATAAAGTTATTAAATGATATATAAGCAAAACAAAAGACTTGGGCCACAAACTTGATCACCATAAACAAGTTTATTAAAATTTAAACATATTTAATTATCGTTTTCTTTTTTTTTCGCATTTTTATATATATACATATATATATATATGTGCTTATATATATATGCAGCAGTAATTAAATTTTATATCAAATTTGTTGTGCATAAAAAAAAGTTATACGAGCGTTCGCAATTGTAGCGTAGTTAAGATGTAAATGTGTTAAATTAAAAGGATAAATTGTTTAAAGAACTTATTTAAAACGTATTCTCATAAAACAAAAGTCTTGTGAAAGTTTACAAAAAAAAAAAATTTGCATTTCTTTTATTCATCGAATCAAGTCAATTCAAATGATGAGTTGCCGGTTGACACTGACAAAGTAGGAAAAAATAATTAATAATATAAAAATTATAATAAAAAGTTAACACATATATAAGCACCAATGTGTGTGTGTGTGCGTATGTGTTTGCTTTACATTTAGCGCGGAAAAACCTTGAATTTTTTGTATGCATTTTTTTTCTTTTTCTTTTTCTTCTTTTTTTTTTTTTTTTTTTTTTTTTT